GCCACATCTTCTTTATCCATTCATCTGTTGATGGACATCTCGGCTCTTTCCACAGTTTTAGCCTGGAATATTCTAAATACTCTCCATCAGCAAGCCTTAAAAGCCAAGCTCTCATCAAAGTTACTTATATTTTCTACCCAAACAGCCTCTCAGAGAACTTGGTCCTGTAAGTTAACTGCCTGTTGTACACGAAACACTTTTTATGTATGAACATGATTTTGGTTTATGAGCAAGTTCAGTTACCATAGCCATATTACAAAATTATTCTGTCAGTAAATACTTATGGATTTTGCTTTGTTTTTGGCCTATCTTTCCTCTACTAGAGTCCTAATTTTTTTTTCCTAATCTATTTTCACTTTACACTCTTCCATCTTCCCCTTGATCTCCATAGTTGCTTCTCTGAATCTTTATCCAATTCCTCTCTATCAAACTCTTCTTTCAAACTCTATCAGAACTGAGTTCTCTAGGGTGTAGACCCTTTTGCTTTGAGCTTGCAATACGTGCTGAGTCTCATGGGTAACATTTAAATACCCTTTTCGCACCCAGGTAACTAGGGATGAGGCTCTTCCTGCTCCTCAAATCTCAGGACCACTAAGCCTCTTCAAAATCATTTTATAACCTATAGAATTCAGGAGTCCTTCTTTAAAGAGCTCCCGTCATTGCCCTGACCCACTCGTGGTCCCCAAAGAATCCTTAACTGACAAATAAACCTCTTCTTAACTTTTGCAAACCTGCCTTAAGCATTAGCTACAAAAAATCAGGCCATCTACATAAAGACAGGACTGACAGAAATCCTACGTCAATACTATAGGTGGAAGTAGTTCAGGATCTGGCAAAAAAATTTTTTCAATTTTTAACTAGACTACGCTCTTTTACACAAAAATGGCAGGATATGCCACCCTTCCCTAACGGCTACAGTAACTCTAAGTGCTTAAACTCCAATTACCTCCTTCCAGGTACTAAATGATACCTTGATGCCTTGGAAAAATTAATGGGTGAGTGGTTTACTTTGAGAGCATTTTATTCCCTCTGAGTCAACATAGGATTCTGCCCAATTAAGTTTTGGAGGGCAGAACTTTTCAGTTAGCCTGGCCTCTTTGCTCACATCTTCCAGCACCACCCAAAGAATCAGTTGCCTAACTGGTACACACTGAGGGGCGCTATGACACCTACCAATTACAAGATCTCTGGAATCCTCCCTTCTCCACTCCTCCCTCACCTCCATCATCACTGCTATGGATTCTGGCCCCTCCTCCAGAAGACCCTCCCTTAATGTGGACTTCCTCCTTTGATAAGTTAGCAGAGAGTTGGCAGCCTAGAATGTGCAACAGGGAAAGACCCGGGGCCAGGCCTGCCTTCCCCACCTCTCCAGGTGCCTGCTCTGGGCTGAGGCACTATGACTGGGGGCCTAACCAGAAGGGAAGCCCCCGGAGGGCAAATCCTACCCCCCTCCACCCCAGAGGAAAGCCCCCAAACCAATAGCTTTGCTGGGGTTCCCACCCACTGTTGCCATCCAAATAACACTCAGAACCAGCAGGAGTCCCCTCTCTCCTTGGGCCCCAACCTTTATACCTTCTCCAGGTCCTGCGTTCCTCCTACACACCCGGCGTGAAATAACGACTTCCCGCCCCTGGCCCGGCCCCACCCAGGGCCCACAGTCTCTCGCGCCTGGGGTGGGGGGTGGGGGGTG